AAGGACCGAGGAGCTATCTTTCGAGGTACAACCTCTTAATTCTCCTGCTGCAGTTGATGAAACTCAAGATAGTAATCACAATCCTGACCAACAGATGCATAATGAAGAATCTCCTCATGAAGAGCCAGAAAGCTCAACAAAAGAAACACAACAGTTTCAAGGCAAAAGAAATCCAGTGCGTGCTAGGCATCCTCCTACAAGGCTTCAAGATTATGTGACTTATTCAGCAAGGCATCCAATCAATGGTTTCATGTCCTGCCAGAAAGTTTCAAAATCTTATGCTGCCTATTTGAACATCATCACCAGTCACTGCGAGCCTTAAACATTTCAAGAAGCAAACTGTCAAGAAGTGTGGAGAAATGCCATGGAGGAAGAGCTTCGTGCTCTCATTAATCACAACACCTAGAGTGTAGTTAGACTTCCACCAGGAAAAAGGATAGTTGGTAGTAAGTGGATCTACAAGATCAAATTCCACTCAGATGGATCGATTGAAAGGCACAAAGCTAGGATGGTGGCTAGAGGATTCACTCAAACATATGTCGTGCACTATGATGAGTCGATTTCATATTATATATTTTACCCTATTCTTAGTATATTTTGGTAGAATTTTGATACTTTGTTATGTATTTTCAATGTAGGACATTCAACTTCATTTGAACCAAAAAGTGATCAAACGGATGAATTTTGGAGTGATTCAAATTGGAGGATGTTCATGTACCTTTCAAGATGAGTGTGTCAAAATTTCAGATTTTTCTAATTTAGCCATTTGCCCAAGATTTGGAGCTAGCCGTCCAACAAGGTTGCAACTGCACAACATCCTGCAACAAAAACACCAAAGCGTTGAGTTTATAGAAGACTTCAGGTACAGACGGAAATTTTGTGTCATGGAACCATTAACTCCGTGTCTTCATGTTTTTCATCTTATCAAGCGAAGGAATGGGTGATTCAGGTCCACTCAAGTCAGTGATTCTCCTGCATGTTAAAATTGACTATGAACATAAACTTCGCATATTTGCTAATCGTTTGTATCTATAAATAGAGACGAGATATACTAACAAGTTAAGCTTGTCAAAAGAGAAATGCCAGAAGGAATTGGCCCTGCCAAACCGCTAGCTTGAATCAATCTATTTCAACGAGTCATAACATATTAGTTAGTGATAATATTCAGAATCAAATAGCAGAAAGGTGACACACAAAAGAAAAACACTCACAGTTTTTTACGACTTGTCCAGTTCTCAATAAAATCAGGTATCTGCCAGGAAAAGTGACTGTCACTAACCCGACTGCATAATGATTGGAAAAGGGAAAATACTACCAGTTAGTATCAGAAAGCAGTAAAAGAAAAAAAAAAAGTGTTAAGTGCTCAGTAAACCTTTAAGAAGAAACAACCAAAAAATCTTACATGTCCTTTATTTTGGTAAGCATTGCAAATGTTTCTAGCAACTCCCCAGTAAAGTTGTTTGAGGAAAGTAGCCTAATTATGAAACAGATATAATAATATATCAATGATAAAGAAGTGGATGATTTACTGGTGAAAACATCCAGAATTTGTCTACAAGAAAGAAAATTCCAAATAAACCAAATACTTTTTAACACGGTAAAATTTGAATAGGACTCTTACATTCTTTCTATGTTTGCCCAAGATCCAAGCTCCTGAGGGAGACGTCCAGAGCAATTATTGAAACTGATGTCCCTATACAAACAAATTCAATTCCATTGATTAAAAAAACATCATTTAGGATCTACATAGAAAAAATGGGATAAGCAAGAAACAAATGCGCAATCAACACTCGCAAACTCTTCAGGGTGGTGATGTCTCCAAGCTCTTTGGGGATAGAACCTGTCATACGATTTCCAAAAAGGGTTCTGCATCAAATACTATAGTCCTATGATCACTTTTATCAAGCAAGAGGCTCAATAACATTAACATGTTCGTCCTTACGAAGGCAATGAACCCCGTGTGTTCAATTCAATATTTATGATTCAAACACCTCATGACCACGTAAGCTCATTATCATGAACAAAACCCAATGTAGTAGATTCATAGTTTAAGAAAGAAATGGCTGAAGAACATTGGAGTGACCAAATAAAGTAACAAGAACATGACATGAGCATCAAACACAAAAATGTATGCAGTGTGAGAGAAGACAGTACATGTTCACAAGTGGAAAAGAGCTCCATTCTGGAGGGATGGTACCACTCAGGTAGTTGCGGGTGAGGTCGCTGAAGGAGAAAGAAAGAAACCAGTTATTGTCTCATTGACAACGGACATAAAGGTAAGCTATATATGAAATTAGAATAAACCAAATACACGGCATAAAGTTATTTTCTTTTTACTTTAAATAATGTAAACTTGGAGGGATAAAAATGTGCTTACATTTCTTGAAGATAGGTGAGATTTACCAGCTCTAGTGGGAGTGTTCCTTGCAGATCTTGGGATTTTAGAATTTTGTGTTTCATCGAAAAACAGGGTTTCAAAGATTAGTTGCAAATTAACAGATATCCATTACGCATCTATCCTATGACTAAAAGGAAAAGCTGCCACATAAATGAGACCAAACAGGTAAAACACTAACTTATCATAGAAAATACTTACTTAAACAGGCAAAACACTAACTTATCACAGAAAATACTTACTTTTGGTCAGGGCATTAAATAGGAAGAAGGAACTGGTTTTCTTACTTTAAAACCGAAGGAAAATGTCCGATCTTCTTTAGAAAGAATAAAACTTCAGGAATTACACAAATGGTAAATGTGTATTTGTTACAAGCACATTGTGAATCATTATTTCATTGACTCTGTAACAAATAACTAGGTCGATACAGAGTTGGTCGTGTATAAGAAGTATGCAAGAATCATGGCCCCACCTTCTAATCTTCGCCGATATGGAGAGAATTTGGTATGTTGCCTCAATAAATCGCTTTATGGTTTAAAGCAAGTCCTTCGACAATGGTTTTTCATGTCTTCGCAAGCTATTAGGTTTGCTGATTATGTTCAATCCAAAGTGATAGATTATTCGCTTTTCACTAAACTATTGCACTCCTTATTTACGGTGACGATATTTTGATTACAGGAAACGATTCAACTGCAATTAATAGCCTAAAACATTTTTTAAATACCAAGTTCTACATCAAAGATCTTGGTAATTTAAAATACTTTTTAGGCATAGAAGTGGTGAGTTCAAAAAAGGGGATTTTTATTTAGCAAAGGAAATATTTGTTGGATATTCTCGATGATATGGGATTTTTAGGATCACGACCTAGAACTTTCTCTATTGAGAAAAATCTCAAATTGCTTTTTGATGAGGGTGTAATGCTCAATGATCATGTTAAATATAGGAGATTGATTGGTCACCTAATTTATCCCACTATTATCCTGCCAGATATCATGTAGTTGCTCCACTTGTTGAGTAGATTCATGCAAGCACCTCAAAAATCACACTACGAGGCTGCATTGCACATTTTGAGATACTTAAAATGGACACCCGAACGAGAGATTTTTCAGTGTGACCGGTACACTGGATGCTACACCATGTGTCACTATACAAATAGTGAGATATGTGTGTTAAAAAGTTAATAACTTAAAAAATAAAATTTATCACCACTTCTATTAAAACACGTGGTATACCATTTGTGTTCTCGTCACAACTAAAAATTTCGCCACCCGAACAAGGTATTATTTTTTCTTCAGAAAATGATTTGAAGTTGAAAGCATACTTAACTTAGATAGCGCAGGGTGCCCAACCACTCAACGGTCCACCACTAATTATTATATTTTTCTTGGAGATTCTCTTGTTTCATGGAAAAGCAAACATCAAAAGACATTCTCTTTGTCCTCTGCCGAAGAAGAGTATGAATCCATGGCAGCAGCCTGTTGCGAGTTGGCTTGGCTACAAAATCTATTTCTTGATATACAACTTTGCAACAAGGGGGCTGCAACTTTGTTTTGTGATAATCAAGCTGCTCTTCACATTGTCGCAAATTCAATACTTCATGAACGTACACAGCACATTGAGATTGATTGTCACTATGTCCGAAATAAAATCATGGAAGGAAGAGTTGTCACAAGTTATTATGTTCCATCCATGTCACAGCTTGCCGACATTTTCACTGAAGTTTTGGGAAAGGGACATTTTAAATCTTTATTAGGCAAGTTGGATGTTCTTAATAAGGGAGAGCATCACAGGCTGATTACTTAATTACTTTGTACCAATTAGCTATGTAGTATTGATTCTTGTAGTTATATATACCTATATTCTACAACAATCAAAATCAATGCAATTGAAGTAAACTTCAGAACTTCCAAAATTAAATTTAAGAGAACTTGGCAATTTGTTTTTCTTTTAGGCAATGATTTACGTCACGTATCATTTTTCTTTTCATGCACTTTGTTTGAATCTTGCTTGCCTTATATATTAGCTATATTTTTTGTAGAAAATCCTCCGTAAATGATTTCCGATTTTACTAAATTAAGTTCCTTCTATCAACCAACTTGTTGTATTCCCCTCCTTTTCAATTTTGGTGTACATTACCTACTTTCTTCACAAACAACCACATAGCCAAAATAGTATAGTGTTCAACCAACTTACTCTATTCCCCTCCTTCAAAATTTTTGTATTTGTAGTACGATGGAACTTGCCTCAACTTAGCTGACATTTTAAAACGTTAGTGACGATTTGTGATAATAAAATTATGAAGTTGAAAGCTTTTTAAGATACCCGTCTTTATATATATATATATATATATATATATATATATATATAATTTAAGCAGTAACAAACAAGTACTAAGTGCATTACTTTAAATTTAGTAACAGCTGGAGCCATTATTTTATACTCAGCAGTATAAGCACGAAAACATTCAAATACCAAAATTTAGCTGCCAAATAACGTATTCCATTTTCCTCTGACTAAAACTCTGCCCTGTGTTGCAAACTTAGCAGCCAAGATTATGATCAATTTTTATTAAGGAAGTTGATCGAAACAATTGATCCAATCTAGATATTGAAGTATAAATTTATTATTCGAAAAGAAAATCATATTATCATACTACAAAATACTGAAAAGAGCTGATTTCACAATTTATAATTACCATGCTGTAGAAACTTCTTCAGTTCTGCTTTCTACCATATTATCAAACAGAAAAAAGAAAATACTTATAGAGGAATTGCAAATTATTTATTAGCTGATATGTTTGAGCGTGCTAAGGTTGTGTCAAACTGATAACTGTGCAGCTCAAGTTCTCTCGCTTCTGTTCTCCCATTAATCTGAATCAGGATTGATGGGATACAGATCGTGAGCAGACGCAGACGAAGCAGTCCATGACCTTTCAATTGACCTCGTTTCTATCCATTTCTCGCTCGTGCCCCTTCCAAAACTAGATTGAAAATGTTTCCTCATTGCATCGATCTCAATACTCTCGGCTTTTGGATCCGAGACCAACTCTTGAACAACAGCCCTTCCTTCGAGCATGCTCACAACCGAAGACATGGTAGGCCTAGCTGTCGAAGTAACATTGCAACAAAGGAGAGCCACATTGATTGCAACAGTCATCTCCTCTTTGTTAAAGTCTAATTCCAACCTTGGATCAACGAGGTCCATCAAATTCCCATGCTTTTTTAGAAGTCGTGCCTACAAAAAATGGAAGTAACAAAAGCAATATAAATTCTGTCTTTGGATTATACTTCACCAATTCAAATGTACTTTCACACATAAGGTATATTAAGAAAATTTGAAGTTAAATTAGGAAGTAGTAGATTCATGTTACCCAATCAAGAAGATAAAAGCTTTCTTCCTTTTTCCAGTAAGTTGTGTTGTTTCTCCCGCTAACAATTTCCAAAACGAGAATACCAAAACTATAGACATCTGCTTTATCAGTCAGATAACCCCGCATTGCATATTCGGGCGCCATGTATCCACTACAATATCATGAATCATATCATTAACCCAGATTCAGCTCAAATAATTAGTAAAAATATTGCTAATTGACTACTTAAGATGAATCCAATAGTTTGAGAGATACACAGCAATACAACTATATTCAAAGAACAAATCTGCCCTTGAAATTTATTGAACAACAAAGATTTGGTTAGGTTGAAAATTATGTAAGTTATAGACTTTCCGTTGCTGTATCTTCTTTTTTAAGGGTGGAAGAAGATCAAAACAAGAGAATAAGAAGATAAATAAAAGTTTAGGGACTCACTAAGTTCCAGCAATACGGGTGCTAATATGAGTATTATCCTCTTCATCAAGCTTGGCCAATCCAAAGTCAGATATTTTCGGGTTAAGATTTTTATCAAGCAGAACATTAGTAGCCTTGATGTCTCTATGAACGACCTTCAATCTTGATTCCTCATGAAGATAAGCCAAACCTCTTGCTGTACCAATACAAATCTTGTGCCTTGTTGGCCAATCCAACTTCAAATGACTTTCTTCTGCCCCTTCAATTTACCAAATTAAACAAGGTTAGTTGTAAGGGACATATTTTTAGTGCATAAGATCTTTTATGCCACTGTATGATGAAATGAACTTTTGGCAAACGAGACTAATATTTACTGAAGAAAGCATGAGCGACGCTATTATTTTCCAGATACTCATAGACAAGCAATAATTGATTTCCTTCAATACAACATCCATGGAGCTTGACAAGATGAGGGTGTTGCAGAGCAGAAATCATGCCAATCTCATTAACAAATTCACGATTCCCTTGCTTTGATTTGGAAGAAAGCTGCTTAACAACTATTGCGGTGCCATCTGCTAGAACACCCTACATTTGAGAAAGATTGTCAAATTTGCATCACTATGGAGCAAATTAACTTTCATTAGAATGGACAGTATCAAATTAGAAAAAAAAAATGTAATCAATAAATAAATTATTTGCCCTGAAGAATACCTTATAAACAGAACCAAAACCACCTTCACCAATCTTATTGGCTTTGTTAAAGTTACTTGTGGCATCTTTGAGTTGCTTGAAGGTAAATTTACCAGTTTGCAGGTCCACGCCCTTCAAATCTGGATGACAAGTAAAACTCATAAGAAATTGTGTCTAAGAAAACTTTCAGAACGATAGCATTCTTAGTTCTTACTATTTTGTGCGTGATTAATTTAACTAGTAACTTGATCTATAGGCAGACACTTTGCATCATGAGTTTGGACGATAAATATATTACAGCAACATCAAAGTGCCGGAAAGCTCAATATCTAAATAAGTACCGTCTTTGTGGTGCACATCAATATGCAGGAGAACCATGCAAAATAGCGTAAATATTGTACTTAATTAGTTACGAAAAAAGCTCGATGAGAAAAAGTAATGAAGAAACAAAAAGGAAAAACCAGTATAACAATAAACTACAAATTAATACCATCCTCCAATGTCTTTTGTTGCCCTAGGAGGCCTCTCTTCCAAAGAATACCAAATATCAGTAGTATAATGAAGACTCCTCCAACCACAATTCCAACCACGGCACCTACATGCATGCCACTTCCACCTACAGGCACGCCACTTCCACTTCTACCAGTTGATGTGTCACTTACAGGTTTTGGCGGGGGATCAAAGTCTGTCGGAAGAAAGAATATAGCTTAAATTATAGTAAATGTAAATGTAATTGATATGAGAGTGGATTATTCAACCAACTATCTGATGCACACAGAAACAGAAGATTGAACCCGGTCTTTGGGTCATCCTTAAATAAGAAGATAGTATATAAAGTAATCCCTCGAACAAACTTTCTTTGGATGGTTAAAAATATTATATGTTTCCTTAAGTGAACTGGATAGTTTTCATGTAATTAGTTAAACATCCTCGATGTAGAATTTTGTTGTATTTAAAAGCGCATACCGGTCACCTAGGAAAAAACAGCATATTATGTGATAAGAAAATTTAAGAGTATTTCTTCAAGTCTTGGCCCAAACTATGTAAAACAGGAGAAAAGCACAGAAGCATTTTTGTGAAAATACAAGGGAAAGGAAATTTTGAAGAAGAACCTTGCAGAGCTGAATTCAGATCTCTTAATTTAGTAGATATATCAATGCATATGGTCGATGCATAGTAATTTGATGAAGTTCAGATCATTGAAAACTTACTTGGGTCTACTGAAATAGCTGAAATAAGTGGACCATAGATTCCTCTAACAGGGACGCCTGTCGTCCCTTTCCCAGCCCAATATAAACGAATCTCCAATGTATTATTAGTTACAGGAGCAGTAAAGTTCTTTATGACTACATCACCAAACACATCAGCTTCATCCATGATATTGAAGTCCTTCTTCACTAGTTTTCCCTGCAGTATATATACTAATTAGTTGCTCAACATTTCATGATCATAAATGTGAAAGTTAACATTCAAATCGACTAAAATATAAACAATGCTTGTTGAAAATTAGAATAATTCACTGGTATACATGGAAGTGGGTGTGATTAGTTACCTGAATGTAAATGTCGAATATGCGCCTTCCCAAGCTTTTATGTGTTCTGCCATTTCTAAACATTATCTCTGCAAAATGGAGGTTTACAGTGTAGTTTCCATTTCCCAGACAAAACCCAAAATAAGTTAGAGAGATGGGAGAAAGGCGTGCGTTCATGTACAGTTGAGGATTGGCCATATAGAGTCTAGTTTTATTATTCACTATAAGGGTGTCCGTAGTTTGGTCGTCATCGGTGAAGTAACCAGTGTTGCTTAATGCCCAATTTGTTGTGCTCTGGTAAAATGATGAAGGTCCAGCTGAATTACTTGTGTCACGATCATATGATGTATTTGTCTCTCCAGGGACAGTAAATTCTGTCCCACCACAATTTATACGGAGAGAGTAGTACAAATCTATGAAAAAAGAAAGTGGAGATTAGTAGGAGTTGAGGAGGAAAACTTAAAAAGAATGAACCGAAAAGAGAAAGGTAATCATTTGTGTAGAAACTCGGCCTACATGGTGGACATTGTGCAGTTCTGAAACATGAAACAATTCTCCTGATAGAGTAATTCAGAGTACAGAAAATGTCAGCAATCATAAATGAGAAGAAGTTGGAAAAAAATAGAACAGAATACACCGTTGGAAACCGAAGTAAATTTATAGGTGCATGCTTTGAGACGATTAATTTGAACTTACGAACTATTGTCCTTTGACGAGCTTGCAAACAAATTCCTGCAGAAATTAGCACACATGAAAAGTTAAGCTTGCACCACAAGACACAAACAGAAACTTCAAGCTAATGAAAATATTCTTACATGCCGCCTGGTGGTAGACAACCTCCATCCCCTATGGTGAGGTTGTTATATGAAAGATCACTGCACAAAAAGAGCTATGATGCAAATTGTTTTCCATATGTCGTATGTGAGTACAAAAAGAAATAAGGGTAAGGAGAAAGAGGTAGGCATCAACATGGCTGGAATAAAGTTTTTATATCATAGTTTTATATCTATTTTAGTAAAAAATTCCAGAAGGAAGCTTACACGACGTCTTTCGGCCAGGTAGGTATGGGTCCAGTCAGCAAGTTTCCAGTTAAGAATCTGAAAATAATGAATACAGAAAGCTCAGTAAAGAATGTAGTGTTTGTTCTTAGGAACTTTGTAAAGGTTTGAAAATTTGAGTTTGCCAACTCTGAGTGCATTAGATCAGTTACCAGTACTTCCATCTGAAGGACACATCTAAGGGTGATCACCTTATGTCACTTAATTGCATGAGTAGTAATGACTCTAATGAATAAACTAAATTTTATTGCAGTATAACCCGTGACTCAGTAATCGTGATTGGAAATACTTCCAGCTTGTCAGGCTGGGGTGTAACAAAACCATTGAAGAACGTCTGCGTGAGTTTCATATAAGAAAGACTAGATTGGGTATTCCAATTGCTTACATATAATCCACTTTTGCTAGACTAGCAAAGCTGCTTGGAATTTCTCCGGTCAGCTTGTTAAAGCTGAGGTCTCTGCACAAACAAATAGCAAATGCAGTTTACATATGCTCTCTGCAGAGAGGGAAATGTCATCTGAAAGAGATGTTCTCTTAATAAATACAGAAACTTAATGTCCCTCCAACATCGTCTAAGTCACTTTAATAATCCTTAAATTAGTAGAATCACATCTAGAAGAAATTTTTTAATCTGAAGTCAGAAAAAAATAGGGACGAATACATTTGTACTTACAAAGTTTTCAATTTAGCCATTTGCCCAAGATATGGAGGTAGCCGTCCAACAAGGTTGCAACTCCTCAACATCCTGCAACAGAAACACCAAAGCTTTGAGTATATAGAAGACTTCCGGTACAGACTGAAATTTTGTGTCATGGAACCATTAACTCACAGTGTCTTCATGTTTCTCATCTTATCGAGCAAAGGAATGGGTGATTCAGGTCCACTCAAGTCAGTGATTCTCCTGCATGTTAAAATTGACCATGAACATAAACTTTGCATTTCGCTAATCATTTTGTATTGATAAATAGAGACGAGATATACTAACAAGTCATTTAAGCTTGTCAAAAGAGAAATGCCAGAAGGAATTGGCCCTGTCAAACCGCTAGCCTGAATCAATCTGTTTCAACGAGTCATAACATATCAATTATTGATAATTTCAAAATCAAATAGCAGAAAGATGACACACAAAAGAAAAACACTCACAGTCTTTTAAGACTTGTCCACTTCTCAATAAAATCAGGTATCTGCCCGGAAAAGTGACTGTCACTTACCCGACTGCATAATTATTGGAAAAGGGAATATACTACCAGTTAGTATCAGAAAGCAGTAAACAAAATGTATAAGTGCTCAGGAAACCTTTAAGAAGAAATAACCACAGAAGTTTACAAGTCCTTTATTTTGGTAAGCATTGCAAATGTTTCTGGCAACTCCCCAGTAAAGTTGTTTGAGGAAAGTAGCCTAAGTATGAAACAGATGTAACAATATATCAATGATAAGAAGTAGATGATTTATTGGTGAAAACATCCAGAATTTGTCTACAAGAAAGAAAATTCCAAATAAACCAAATACTTTTTAACACGGTAAAATTTGAATAGGACTCTTACATTCTTTCTATGTTGGCCCAAGATCCAAGCTCCTGAGGGAGACGTCCAGAGAAATTATTGAAGCTGATGTCCCTATACAAACAAATTCAATACCATTGATTAGAAAAAACATCATTAAGGATCTCCATAGAATCAAATGGGATAAGCAAGAAACAAATGCGCAATCAACACTCACAAATTCTTCAGGGTGGTGATGTCTCCGAGCTCTTTGGGGATAGAACCCGTCAAACGATTTCCAAAAAGGGTTCTGCATCAAAAACTATAGTCTTAAGATCACCTTTATCAAGCAAGAGGCTCAATAACATTAACATGTTCGTCAATACAAAGGCAATGAACGCCATGTGTTCGATTCAATATTTATGATTCAAACACCTCATGACCACGGAAGCTCATTATCATGAACAAAACCCAATGTAGTAGATTCATAGTTTAAGAAAGAAATGGCTGAAGAACATTGGAGTGACCAAATAAAGTAACAAGAACATGACATGAGCATCAAACACAAAAATGCATGCAGTGTGAGAGAAGGCAGAACATGTTCACAAGTGGAAGAGAGCTCCATTCTGGAGGGATGGTACCGCTCAGGTAGTTGCGGGTGAGGTCGCTGAAGGAGAAAGAAAGAAACCAGTTATTGTCTCATTGACAACAAACATAAAGGTAAGCTATCTATGAAATTAGAATAAACCAAATACACGACACAAAGTTATTTTCTTTGTACTTTAAATAATGCAAAACTTGGAGGGGTAAAAATGTGCTTACATTTCTTGAAGATAGGTGAGATTTACCAGCTCTAGTGGGAGTGTTCCTTGCAGATCTTTGGCTTTTAGAATTCTGTGTTTTATCGGAAAACAGGGTTTCAAAGATTAGTTGCAAATTAACAGATATTCATTATGCATCTGTCCTATGACTAAAAGGAATAGCTGCCACATAAATGAGACCAAACAGGTAAAACACTAACTTATCACAGAAAATACTTACTTTTGGTCAGGGAATTAAATAGGAAGAAGGAACTGGTTTTCTTACTTTAAAACCGAAGGAAAATGTCCAATGTTCTTTAGAAAGAATAAAACTTAAGGAATCACACAAACGGTTAATGTGTATTTGTTACAAGCACACTGTGAATCATTCTTTCATTGACTTTGTAACTAATAACTGGGTCGATACAGAGTTGGTCGTGTATAAGAAGTATGAAAGAATCATGGTGACTGTGAAGTAATGTACGTTGATCAAGTATGCAAGAATCAAGCCTAAATACAGCACAGCAGTAATACCAAGTCCTAACAACTCAGCATTGCTTGCTCATGGCCAGCTCAAAAACACATTGCTGTAGTAATTGAGTAAATTGGTCACATCCCATGAACTCGATTTTGCAGATAAGCTTAACTTGAATTGCGGTACATGGTAGGTTGTAATTGATGTTTCATTGGTCATTCAATAAAAGAAATGGATTAGTCTTTCTGCATTTCTTGAATTTCAAGGCACAACAAGGTCTTATTAGACCAAGAGAAACTTCCAATTGGTAGCTGGTTGAAGAAAAATTAAAAATCTAGAGGGTCAAGGATTTGGGAAAATGGAAACCCCACTAGGGTCTAGAGATATCAGAATTACGTTGGCTTTATACCCACTGGTGGATCACAAATTCAATATATACTAAAACTGAAAAACAATTGAATAACTGTTCATAAGAACAGTGTAGTATCTGCAGACCTGAAGGATGAATGTAAGCTAAATTGTACTAAAGATGGTAGTAACTCATCTCTGCCTCCTTCCCCTTTACTTGCACCAGTTGTGACAGATTTTCCTTTTTGGTTCTATCTCAGGAGTTCTTCAAGGAGAAAGTTTGTGAACAAAAGAAAGGAGTGAAGAAGCTAAAGCAGCATTTGAAAGTATGATGCAAGTTCTACTTTGTACTTACCCCAGATGCTCCTGACATTTCAAATACAGTAACTTCCCAAACATTGATATTTTGGTTTTCTATTGGTAGATGTGAAACCAGCTTGATTTACGTTACAAGGTTGAGGGTTGAGGATAGTTGGCAAATAACAGAAGTAATTTGTTGTCTAGCGTATATAAAACCAACCATGGAAGAAGAGAAGTAATTTGTTGGCAAATAACAGAAGTAATTTGTTGCCCAAGTTTTTTAATTAATGTACGAATGGTTTTCTTATTTTGACTTGCCAAATGCATAAATAATTAGATTATTATGTAGTATTTCGCTATGGTGGTATTAATTGTCTGTTTTTTTTTGTTTTTGAGTACATCGTATTTTTACATTAAGGGGATGGGGAGTTTAGCTAAACCACACAATAGATAACCTAATTTGGTATCGAATTCATTATCCATGGGATTCAAACCTAAGACCTCTCACTTTCAAGTGAAAATGAATATCACCATATTGTAGTATTGAATGACTTATTCTAATTTTAGATGGCTTAATCCGGCATTTTCTGTCATTTTCATGTCTAATTAGGTACTAATGTTTCTACTTTATGTGTTCTGTAATTTTTTTGTCATGAGTTATTATTAGTTATTATTTACAAGGAAATGCTTGAGTTTGCAATCGAACCCTTAGATTTAATGTAATTGTATTTTATCGTATTTCTGAAGAAATCTACATACGGTGAATTATTTCTGAAAAAATCTATATACAGTGAACTTTGACAATAAATTACTAGCCTTCCTATTGATTTCTTATAATTAATTTGGAATGGTTGGTTTCAGCGGCCAACTGAGAAGGAACAAATTGATGTGGAATTAGATATAGCCAATGAATTGCAGAGCTCATTATCGATTCTTGGCCTGATGTAAATACTCCACTTTATGTTTTTCTATTTGCCTCGTGTTTTCTTCTTTTGTTTAAAACAAGAGTCTTAGTTCCAATAAAAATATTAACCTCTTTTAACACTTAGTATATGAATTTTTTTTTTTTTGGGTCAAACGATAGATTTTGTTAGATTAGTCGAACCCACTTCATCATACAAGAGCTCAACTTATTTTCATTATTGTAGTAAAGAGCTACTTGCCACTTAGTATATGAATGAATTAGCCCAAACTAGAGTTACTATGTTTTATGCCTCTTTTCTTTCTATTTTTGTACTCAAATAGGTATTTAATATGTCATAGAAGGTCAAAGGCCTTTGCTTTAATTTCCAAATCAGCAAATTGAATGTGCTTATGTAATCTTAATATTAATTTTATTTTCGTTTTTTTCTTTTTATTTATTAGTATTTGACTCTTTTCCTATTCTCCCTTTCGACCCTTTTAATCTTTATTTTTGCGATTTTGATAATATTAATTAATAAGTTGGATTTTATATTTAATTTAATCTAGAAATTTTGTAAAATGTGCAAGGGGGGTTCAAAGTCGAGAGGGGTACGCATATATTAAGCGTATGTATCTTAGTCACATTATAGATTTCGTATGTAAATGGTATGTATTTCAACTAGATTGTAGATTTTGTGTGACTTGTAATAGGACTATCAAATCTTTTGTATGTAAATAGTATGTAATACACATCAAGTATAGATACAAAGTTTTTGTATGATTTTCAATCTCGCAGCATCGTGCGGGTACCCTTGTTAGTTATATATACTAAAGCGCAATGTAAATAACATTGTTCATAAGCGACAATGTAAAGATGAAAATACCCCTCTTCAATTGCTCTCTCCTTTCTGTATTTCAAGTTGGTATAGTAAAAAGACGAAATACCATTTTGCACGAGTGGCATGCTAATGACGTTTCTCCATTCAACTTAAATTTAGTTCCCTTTTTTTTGTTTCTCAAGTGTTTTATCCTTTACTAAACAGTTGTTAGGATTAATAGTTTTGATTTCTTTTGAATTTATTTTTTATTTTATTTTGAAGCCCTGAATTTTGCAAGGACTGTCTACTTTGTATGTGCACCAGATGCTCCTGACATTTCAAATAAGGTAACTTCCCAAACACTGATGCTTTGCTTTTTTTACTGGTATATGTAATCCATTGAGTTCTGTACTAATATTCGTTTACTATGCAAGTTAAATTGTTATTTTTCGGTTTGTCAATAATTTTGCTTTTCTACTCTACATCCGGGATTAAGAGGTTGCCATGTCAAGGGGTTCAAGTTTTGCTTAATAGATGAAATTTGTTTTTTTAACCTCAGTCTGTAGTCTGTATGGTCTTGATCATGTCTTTTATTTTGGTGGTAGTTAGGTGTCACTAGATGGTCTACTAAAGCAACTAAGGGTATTGAAATCAGTTATGGTTGATTGGTGGTGGGGAATTGTAGAGGGATATGGTACACATGAGTATAATTGGAACGGATACAAGAGGCTCTTTCAGATGGTGCACAACCTTAAGCTAAAGCTACATGCATGTTTTATATAAACACCACCTGTGGTTAATTGGTTTGCCATCTTTGTGGTCATTTTTATTCAAATGGTTTCCTGTAATGCTTGGCAAAGTTTTGAGATTTAGTCTCTACAATGTGGGAACCAAAAAACTCACTTCCCTTTCATGCTTTGAATTCACACTCAGTCTGGAGATTATATAATCATTTGGGCATGGTTTCTCTCTGGTATCATTTGGTATGCAGACAGGACGGGACGGAACGGAATGGGATGGGACGGGACGGGACAGGACGGAACGGAACGGAACGGGAGCAAGGATGCCCTCGGATGGAAACAAGGAGGAATAAGAAGGAGACAGAGATGTTATAATTTTGTGTTCCACGGATGTGGAACGAGTCGTTCCAAGGGGGTGAGGTGGAACGAAAATTCACCAAAAACTCGTCCCATGGAACAGCTCGTTCCACCCGTTTTAGGCGTACCAAGCGTGGGACGGAACGCCTTGTCCCACTTTGTTCCGTCCCGTCCCACATACCAAACGGTACCTCTAGGATAAAGCTTGTCTGGCTCTGTATATGGAATTGGATTTGTGTAATTAATGTCAAATAATTGAGTTCAACATAGTTATATTTCTTGGCTTAAGCTTTCATCTTTCTTCCTTCGTTTTTCAAAAGAGGATAATTTTATACTCATTTTTTTTAAGAATTATGCATGGTAGTTGTTAATAATTGTAGTATTTGAAAGTCCTTACTTCTGTAATTGTGAGATGATTATTATGTATTTGCTTTATTTAATTACAATATAGGGGTGATGGAAAATTTAATTTATGCAGGCGTTTTCATTGTTTCTTCCTAGCCATCAATTTGGTTTTGCACATAATGCCAAAAAGAACTAGGAATAGCAAAAGAAATCAGATGATACAAGATCATACTTCTAGAAGTCCCCGCAGCAGAGCGCAGGCATTTTTGCTAGTTAGTAATTATGTAAGGATAGCAAAGGCGGCCTAATTTTAAGATACGTTCCAATTTTCCTCATATTTTTGTTTGTAAACCGACAAAACAGAGTTCGTCATCAAAATTTTCAATTCAACTTGCATGTCAAGAATACTTATAGCTTTATGAAAATGATTATTGCATAATTTGGTTTTATTCATGTCTCTTGATTCGTCAAATAGTGTGCATGAAGAGAAAAAGGCGAGCAATAATCACTTTTCATAGCTCTAAACAATAGCAACATTTACTTGTTTTACACATAGAATGAGCTTTAAAATTTTTACACCCCAAAGTTAGGACAAATTTTGTGTGCAGGGAACAAATCTGGTTCACTAAGTGTCATAATACAAATGGTTGTAAATTTTTTTTAAAGTATACAATCACTTATATTATAATATTTGGTATATTGGATCGTACTCCTAGTACACTAAAAAAATCTCTCGGTCGGGGCATGAGAAAATCACAAAGAAACAAACGTGCTCGACTGTGTTATTAAACTAACATCCCTCAAATCCAATTGAAATCAAATGGCCTAGCTACCTTGCCCGACGTAAGGTTGAATGTGAATACGCCAAGTTGCCAATACTCGATGAGACTAGAGGTGGGCAAACGGATCTAGGAACTACGGGACGGGTTGGGTCTTGTCGGTTCAGAATTGGTTCAAATTTTGTAAACTCAAAACGAAACGGGCTGGGACGGGTACATGTAATTGGCGGAGCGGGGCAGGTCTAAATTTTTGAAAAACTGGTTACCCGGACCGGACCGTTTTCACCGTCCATTGTATGGAGATTAAATCTCTACCTTTCATTTATACCACTTTTACTCTCGCCTGCTCTCTCGACTTTTCCAGGATCCATCCCTCTCTCTCAAGATGGACTCTCGCCTCCCATCGCTTCCTCAGCGCCTACTCCACCGCTCACTCCTCCTCTCGTTGAAGCTACGGCGGTCTTCATCAGCGCTACCACTACCCTATCTTCCACTCTTCCTCTCGTTGAAGCTACGGCGGTCTTCATCAGCGCTACCACTACCCTATCTTCTCCGCTCACTCCTCCTCTGATTCAGCGCGCTTGACTTAATCTTTTCCTCGTTCACTCAGCCCGAAGACGACGTCTCGACTACCAGGTCAACTCGCCCGTTCGACGACGACGGTTACCTGGGCTATGACCCCCGACTCTCCTTCCAGCGATTCGAATCCATTGTCGACTCTGAGTCGCTCAAGGACTCCGCCATCGATTCCCCAATATTCCATGGCTCTGCCGCGGACGACGTTTTTGCCACTCAACAGGCGTCGGAGGCCTTCTCTCCTCCCTCGATCTACGCCGAATCGAACGGCCAGGGCTTTGATGGAGGGTTTGGCAGGTCCGACGATCCGATTTTGCCGCCTCCGTCGGCGATGCTACCTGAGGAGGGCTTCGCTCTCAGAGAATGAAGGAGGTAAGAGTCTCGAATTCTGATTGTTTTCGATTGGACCGATAGTTCTGTATAGCAATTAAATTTTGACTCTTTTGTGCAATTTAGTTGAAAGTTTTTGGTTTTGATTTGGCTTGATCTTTCTGTTGCTGAGAAATTGAGTGGAAGTTGTTGTTTTGATTTCAGTAATTTTCAAGAATTGCATGTGTGGTGATCAGTAATCATCTTTCTGATTTCAAATCTTTATGAATTTAACGTGCCGATTGTTCGTATAAGAATGTTGAGCTGAATTCGAATTGAAAAAAGACTCATGATGTTGTCAATTTGTAGTTATTGACTATCAGGTCGTCGATTCGGTCTCCTGATTCAATCTCAGTGTGGAGCAGCAGGAAAGATGAAACTGGAGGAACTTCTGAAAATTTCAGTCTCCTGCTTCATCTCATTATGCTCAAAACCGAAAAGAAATTAAAAAAAAAAAAAAAAACAAAAGGTAATTAGATCCGTTGTCCCGTCCCTAACCGGTTCGTTTCTAACGGGCCGGGTTAGGTTGGGTTTTCAAATTCAAAATCCTTCTACCCGGCCCAGTTCGTCCCGTTACATTTTAAACGAGTACAGTCTGATTCCTTCAAATTTGGATCCGGTCCAGCTCGTACCCACCCCTAGATGAAGCCCACACTAGGCCTTATATAATTCCTACTTTATTTTGGAGGCTTCATGGGGCATGGGGTTAGGTTAGGGGGATAATTGATGAAAAATTGATAGATACGTATAGCATATAGACGTGGGGTTCACAAAACCGAATTCAACCATCTAAATCACCGTTTCCCCTCGTTGTCTATGGCTTAAGAAATAAGTTAATCAATGACAATTCCATATAAACCCAACGTTTATTTTCCAACTTATGTCTCTTTTATCACATTAAGTACTTAAATTGGTGTTTATTAACGCAATAATCTCATGTGCATGTTATTTGTCAAATAAATTGAAAACAAAGAATATAGAATTTCCTCCTTTTTTTTCAACTTGTTTAGACTACTCGTCTGTTCTTTTACAAAATTTGATTAAGATGCTTTGATTAACAGGAAAACTAAAAAAAAAAGTTTGAAAACTTTGAGTTTCAACAAAAATGACAAAATAAAGAGTATAGTGAATAGTACTAGGATTGACTTTTTAGTGTAAAAATGTGGTTTTTCGTTAACGTTAACAGTACCGAGAGTTTTTCGTTAAAATTCTCTTGATTAATTGCCAACTCAACATTTATTTCATTTAATATATATATATATATATATATCCATTTAAACTATCTAACAACTAATTTCTTACAATCTAGAAAATTTAAATTCGTGACTTTATTAAAAATAATAGTTTAAGTAATTCATCATTTTCACTCAAAAAATAACTTTTTATTTTTGTTATTATATTTAATTAGTCTCTTCTTTTATTTAAAAAATCATTAATACTTTCATAAAAAACTTCATTATTTTTAATTAAAATTTTACGTATAATTATATAAAAAAATATTTTTAAAAGTTATGGTACATTTAAAAACGAACATATTGACTTTTGATACGTTTTGATTATAAATGTACCAGAAAACAAAATGTACTATATAATTAAATGTACAAATATAATCAAACCGGCCTCCAACAAAAAAAGTTAGCACCAATAGCATTCTAGTTGATAGTCTAATGGTACTTCTCTTATTAGATTTAAAAGATGTACCAAATCCGATTTTGCCTTCCTGTTAATTGAAAAACAAGTAGCATTTTAATTACTTAATTCTAATCGAAGAAAATATCCCCAGCGATCTAATAATATTCCGGAACAACTTTTGTTGGGGGCGGCACCAATAAATGCACATCAATTTAAATCACAAAATCCCTAAAGATTATTTGGTATTAGCTTGTGAGATGTAGAGAAATTTTTCATTGTGCTCCGAAGTACACCACGTGTTGTTATATAAAGGGGAAGGAAGTTTTATTTTTCAAATTGTGTTAATTTTTTTAACACAAGTAACTCATCATTTATATAGTGATATGTGGTATATCATCTCATGTTTTGAACATACTGAAAAATCTTAGTTCTAATTCGGGCATGTTTGTTTTTGAGAGAGAGAGAGAGAGAGAGAGAGAGAGAGAGGTTTACATGCTGGTAATATGGCAGACAGTGGAGTTTTCATAGGAGCAATTACAGCTGATGGCGTACTCACGTCCCTTGCGTGCGCTTAGATCAGTCCATGGAAGTTGGCGGCTGCATGGATCTGCGTCTCCACTGAAATTCCAGTCCGTCTTCCCCAGTGTTTTTGCTATGTCTTTCAAAGTTTGCACTGCATATACGCAAAATAAAATGCAACAAATTAACATCGTGCTCAACAAAATAGTAAAAAACAAAAATTTGATGCATAGACAAGAACTACAGAATGCACCTCAGCATCATATGATTGATATACTAAGTTCACACAAGTATCTGTTTACCTAAGGTCCATTTGATAACCATTTTAATTTTCAATTCATTGGTAACTGTTTTCTCTTCTCCAGAAAATGTAAACTGAAAACCTAAATTAAACCAAACCAAATTTTGAAAACTAAAAAATTATCGAACGAACTTAAAACTATTCATTTATAGAATGAAACAAAGGAAACTAAGGAAGATATTTGACGTAGAGATGTTGAGGTGAATTACTCGTACCTTCATCATTTGGCAATCGAGCAGCTCCAAAGGCAAAAGTTACAAAGGAAGCTACAAAGAAAAGAGAATGAGGAAGAAGTCGAGAGAAGAACAAATTTAAATTCATCATTTTTCTATATATGCAAAGTCTTTCACATTTGAAGAGAAAACCAGAGACAAAAGGATCAGTTTGTGCAGTTAGCTGGATGGAATATGTTGAGAGGTTTTGGAATTTGTTGGAATGTATGTACGAAAATTTGTGAGAGTGGCGAAGAAAGAAAGATTTGTGAGCAAAATGAGTCTGAATTACAGCTTTTTATTCGCTTGTGGGGAGGGAAGGAGTGGACCTCGAAGGACACAAACGGAAGTCAATGACTTGTAAAAAGGGTTACTATAGAATTTGCGGAGTGATTCTTGCTGATTCAATCATTCAAGTCTCCTTTTCCAAATCTATAAAAGAAAGACTCTGAAGACAAGAAAAGCAAGTAATTTCCACATTTTTTTCTCAGTTAAAATTTTCTTTGAGTTCACACCATATTCAAAGAAATCAAATATTGTAAACAATTTTGATTCTAGAAGAAAGAAGAAGGATGCCTACGAGCATCACCATCCAGTTCTTTCAGTAAAAATTTTCAATCAATTGTAAGTCATCAAGTAAGTTTTGCAATAAAACTCATTTTCAAATTATATCTCCATCATTATTTTAAATTCATTATTTCATTTGAATATTTTCATAACAACTTATTTCAATTGACATAGAATCCTCGATCACTATTTTAATAAATTGACTGAGAGTGAGGATTCTATGCTAATGGAAATCAGTTGTTATGAAAATATTCATAATGGAAATAATGAATTGACTAAGAATGAGGATAAATTCAACCAAATGGTGGGATAAATTCAACCAGCAAAGAATAATTGAACATGTCGTTTGTGAATTTCTCATTGAACCACAACCAGTTATCGAAACACAATCATTATCAGACAGCTCTCCATTCTCCTCACTCAAAAGAAAGTAAAAGTCTTCCAAGTCATCAAAATCAAAGCACAAAGCTGCAGAAATGGAAGATCTTGGACATAAACTTCTTGCTTAAGTGACACAGTTACAGTCACAAGCAGCCCAGTTACAATTACAGTTAAAATCTGAAGACGAAGAAGTTGAAACTTCCTCCGAATCTTCGAATGCATCTTCGCAACAACCAGTAAAGCCAAACAGTTAAAGCACCAGGCCGGTTGACTACCAAGATAATCAAGACCCATTTGCATAAAGTCATGTGAATCATCAAGTCAAGCTATGTGAACACAGTAAGTCACTATGTCAGTCACCATGTGAAAATTCAGTCGTCATTTGAAGTCACCATGTGAAGCATTCAGTCATTATTCGCACAGAAAATCAAGGATCCAATCAGTCAACAAGAATCACTCAGCGCGTTCTATAGTAAAAGCAGAAATTATTTCGACAAGTGCACTATTCATCAACAGTGAAAGCAAGTCATCTTCCATCCCGTGCTTCAACAGTAAAGAACTCAATCATTCCAGTCTCCTTTTCCAAGTCTATAAAATGAAGACTCTGAAGACAAAGAAAACAAGTTAATTTCCACATCTTTTCCTCAGTTCAAATTTTCTTTGAGTTCACATTGTATTCAAAGAAATCAAATATTGTAAACACTTTTATTCTAGAAAAAAAGAAGAAAGGTGCCTACGAGCACCACCATCCAGTTCTTTCAGTAAATTTTGTCAGTCAATTGTAAGTCATCAAGTAAGTTTTGCAATAAAACTTATTTTCAAATTATATCTCCATCATTATTTTAAATTCATTATTTTCATTATAAATATTTTCATAACAACTGATTTCAATTGGCATACAATCCTTACTCTCAATCAATTCATTGAATATCTTAATTTCAAAGTAAATACAGATGAAGACTTTGTGCCTTTTTTTTTTTTTTTTATTCATTTACCACAATTGGTTCCATTTTTTGTGTTATAGTAAGGCACAAGGCCTGTTGGCTGAGTAAGGTACAAGACCTGACTCTTGTTTGATTGATTTTTTTTTATTGACTCTTGTTACTGATTCTTGATTGACTGATTTTTTATTTATTTATTGAGTGTTTGTGAAGAAGTCAAAGTTGTGTAAGATTCATTTCAAAGGAAAACTAATGAAAATAGCTTGAAAACTTTGAGTTTTAATGATAAGGACAAAATAAAAGGTAAAGTGAATAGTAACATGTTTCACTTTTTATTATAAAAATATATAGTTTTTCGTTAAAATGAACAATACCGCGGACTTTTCGTTAAAACTCCCCAATTCCAAAATATTTGTTTAGCCTTCTGTCACTCTGTGCCATTCATTTGCTTTAGCTATATACGAAACCAGCTTGATTTAAGTTACAGGGTTGAGGGTTGAGGATAGTTGGCAAATCACAGAAGTACGTAATTTGTTGTCTAGCGTATATAAAACCAACCATGGAATAAGAGTGTCGTTTGGCTCTAAGTTTTTTAATTAATGTACGAATGGTTTTCTTATTTTAACTTGCCAAATGCATAAATAATTAGATTATTCTGTAGTATTTCGCTATGGTGGTATTAATTGTCTGTTTTTTTTGTTTTTTGGTACATTATATTTTTACACTAAGGGGATGAGGAGTTTGGCTAAGCCACACAATAAACAGCCTAATTTGATATCGAATTCGTCATCCACGAGATTCAAACCTAAGACCTCTCACTTCCAAGTGAAAATGAATACCACCAAACTGTAGTACTGAGTGACTTATTCTAAATTTAGATGGCTTAATCCGGTATATTCTGTCATTTTCATGTCTAATTAGGTACTAATGCTTCTACTTTATGTGTTCTGTAAAATTTTTGTCATGAGTTATTATTAGTTATTATTTTCAAGGAAATGCTTGAGTTTGCAATTGAACCCTTAGATTTAATGTAATTGTATTTTATCATATTTCTGAAGAAATCTACATACGGTGAATTATTTCAGAGAAAATCTATATACGGTGAACTTTGACAATAAATTACTAGCCTTCCTATTGATTCCTTATAATTAATTTGGAATGGTTGGTTTCAACGGCCAACTGAGAAGGAAGGAATGAGATATAGCCAATTGAATTACGAAGCTCATTATCGATTCTTGGCCTGATGTAAATACTCCACTTTATGTTTTTCTATCTGCCTCGTGTTTTCTTCTTTTGTTTAAAACAAAAGTCTTAGTTCTAATAAAAATATTAACCTCTTTCACACTTAGCATATGATCTTTTTTTTTTTTTTTTTTTTTTGTCAAACGATAGATTTTGTTAGATTAGCCAACGACGGGATTTGAACCACACCATCATGCAAGAGTTTAACTCATTTCCACCACTATGGTAAAGAGTCACTTGCCACTTAGTATATGAATGAATTAGCCCAAACTAGAGTTACTATATTTTATGCCTCTTTTCTTTCTATTTTTGTACTCAATGACGTATTTAATATGTCATAGAAGGTCAAAGGCCTTTGCTTTAATTTTCAAATCATCAAATGTGCTTATGTAATCTTAATATTGATTTTATTTTCGTTTTTTTCTTTTTATTTATTAGTATTTGCCTCATCTCCTATTCTCCCTTTCGACCCTTTTCATCTTTTTTTTTCTTCCGATTTTGATAATTATCCAAATGAAATTAATTAATAAGTTGGATTTTATATTTAATTTAATCTATAAATTTTGTAAAATATGTAAGGGAGTTCAAAGTCGAGAGGGGTAAATCATATTAAGCATATGTATCTTAGGGAGATTATAGATTTCGTATGTAAATCATAAGAATGATAGAATCAAGAATATGAAAGTCGATATTATTCAGCCACTAGGGTTTACAGATTTATACAGTGATACAATTGAAAGTTTCCTAAACTATCACCTATAAACAAGGTTTGACTAGTAACTAAACAAGAAAGTAAATAACCACAATATCTATTTACAATATTGACTAATTAATCAGAGATATCATCCTTAACACTCCCCCTCAAGTTGGAGTGTATGTTAATGACACCCAACTTGCCAAGTAAAAGTTCGAACTGCGTTGAACTCAACGACTTGGTGAATATATCAGCTGGTTGATCACTTGTTCTTATGTAAGCCGTGCGTATCATCCCTTCTTGGATCTTGTCTCGTACTAGATGACAATCAATCTCTATGTGCTTTGTTCGCTCATGGAAAACTGGATTTGAAGCAATATGCAATGCCGCTTGATTATCACAAAACAACTGAACTGGTTGTGGATGATTCACCCTCAGATCTTTCAAAATATTCTTCAGCCATGTAACTTCACAACATGTAATGGCCATAGAACGATATTCAGCCTCTGCACTAGAACGAGAGATAGTTGTTTGTTTCTTAGTTTTCCAGGAAACAGGTGCTTGACCAAGCAAAATGCTTCTAGTATCTCTACATCGAGCCCAATCAGCATCACAAAATGCTTGTAATTGTAATGAACATGTGGAAGGGAGAAGGATTCCTTGTCCAGGTGCTTATTTAATGTACTTGAGGACCTTGTGTGCAGCCTCAAGGTGTGGTTGCCGAGGTTTCTCCATGAACTGACTTAGCATGTGAACAACATAAGCTAAGTCAGGCCTTGTTATGGTCAAGTATATCAATCTGCCCACAAGCCTCCTGTATGATGAAGGATCATTCAACACTTTTCCTTCCATTTGTGTAAGAGACACATTCTGATCCACAGGAAATCGTGAGGGCTTAACTCCTAGAAATCCAGCATCATCCAATATTTCTAGTCCATATTTATGTTGACATAGAGTAATGCCACGCTTCGAACGTGCAACTTCGATCCCCAAGAAATACTTGAGTTTCCCCAAGTCTTTCAGTTTAAAACGTTGAGAGAGAAACTGCTTGATTTCTTCAATTTCATGCAAATTGTTTCCTGCTAATATCACATCATCAACATAAACTAATAGAGCAATGAAGTTACCGTGACGACTTCGGATGAATAGTGAATAATCAGACCGAGATTGATGAAAGCCAGCAGCCTTGAGAGCATTGGATAACTTAATGAACCATTATCTCGAAGCTTGCTGCAAACCGTAGAGAGATTTATTTAGCTTGCAGACTCGAGTCTCCCCCTTTCGTCCGAAGCCAGGAGGCAAAGTCATGTAGACATCCTCATCAAGATCACCATTTAAGAAAGCATTGTTCACATCCAATTGATGGAGGTGCCAACCGTGCACAGCAGCAACACTAAGAAGCACTCGAACAGTTGTTAACTTAGCCACCGGAGCAAAGGTTTCGCTGTAATCGACACCTTCAATTTGACTGTACCCTTTGGCAACGAGGCGTGCTTTATAGCGTTCGATAGTTCCATCAGGTTTGAGCTTAATTTTGTAAACCCATTTACAGCCAATGGGACGTTTATGCAGCGGCAAAGGCACGAGAGTCCAGGTATGATTGGCTTGGAGAGCAGCAATTTCATGGTGCATGGCTGCGCGCCAGTTGGGATCTTGGACAGCCTGCAAAAAACTAGTCGGTTCTTTGTGGAGGGTGAGGTTAGTGGTATAGGCTTTATGGTGAGGGGAGAGATGATCATAAGA